GGGAGGGGGCTGCGCTCCCCCCGCCGCCGCTGTCCCGCTGTCCGCCGGCTGCTTCTCCTCCCGAGCCTCTTTCTTCCCCTTTTTTTTTTTTTAACGGAGATGGAGCGGGGGGATGCGCGCAGCCGAGCGCGCGTCATGGATTTGTTTCGGTGAAAAAGAGAGGCAGAGCAGAGCCCCCTCCTCCCTCCGCTCCTTGCGGGAGAGGCAGCGAGAGGATGCGCTGTCAGAGAGCCGCGGTGGAAGGGAAAGGTGGATGAGAAGTGACAGGCATCGGCTAAACATGGGTCAGCACAGCCCAGACACGCTCCGGCTGAGCACAACATTTCCCAGAGGGGTTTTAAGAGCACAATTAAAGGAGGCAGTCAATTCTACCCCTGTTAAACTTTACTGAAAGAAAAGGGAAAAAAAAAGCGGGGAGAAAATAAAGAAAATTAAAAAGGCTCTTTTCTGCTTAACCTTCAGAACAAGGGAAGTTAACACGAATTATTAGAGGGAAGGGTCTCTCCTCTGACAGTCAGATCACTGCCAGCCACAGACGAGCTCCTATCCAGCCTCCCAAAGCAGGATGGGGATAGCTCGGGTGGTGGAGGAAAATTAAAGGCTGCAGCAGTTCAATTACTCGTATGGAAATAAGTATCAGCACCAAAGAGGTTTTGCATTTAGGACATGCCCAGGAATTGTGGGGAGAGACGAGCTGATATCACACAGAGACTGCAGATCATGAGTGGAAAAGAAAAAAATAACATCAAAGCTCTCTGTTCCCCCAGCTTTCCACACAGAGGGAACGGTTACCAACTACACCCCAAAGCAGGTATGAGAAGACAAAAAAGCATTTCAAAATATCCTGCCGGAAAACCTTCCTGGAATGATCTTCAGCAGCAGTTTATACAGATGGACCCTGGTAACAGCTCCATCTCCTCTGTTTCCAGTTCTCTTCTGTGAGAGCTTGTTATGATGAGATCCTGATCGATCAAAAGCAAGAGAATATAAATGTGTGACAAGGACAGGTCTTAACCCTTCTCATATTCATTGTGTTTCTTTCTGCAGCTGAGAATTTCCAGGCAAGTGAAACAGAACATTTCAATTATATATAGTATACACAGGGCCTTTCTAAAAGGGAGAAAATCTGGAACACAGCCAAAAACATTAAACATTGTACATTAAATTAAAAAAAAATAAAAAATCAATACATCTGTTTGCATCTTCACAACTCAGCAAATCCTCACAGTCTCACAGTGAGGTCCTCATCCTGGCACATTGGAACAGATTTTGGTCTGCTCCAGCACAGCTGTCTGCAGATGTGATTTTTTTAACTCCAGGAGGTACTGGCAGTTGCATTTTACTTCTTCTAATTGATGTTATAGAATCCCTTACAGCTCAGGGGTAGCAGCCCAAGGCTGAGAGAAAGCCACAGAGCTGCTGCTGTGCATCCACCTCAATTCACAGAGGACATAAATCTGTTCAATAACCCACTGCACACAGTATACAATGCAAGTACTAATGGTTTGCTGCTTACCCCTTTTTCTTTTCTTGATGGTTAAGTGCAGAAATACCCAATTCCAGTTCCTACCCAATCACTGCAGAACTGTCATCCAGACTCCCCCCACTCCCAGACTGCCCTAGATTCCTCTTCTGCAACAATGTCATCTACAATACCTGAGAAGTTGCTGGGTTTACTGCTCTGCAGTGATGCACAGTCATTCTAAACACCCTGAACCAATGCAAGAACATCTATTAAAGCCACAGGAAAGACTGAAGTATTTCCTTAACATAAACCTCCAAGGTTAAATCCATCTGTCCAGGAAGAACTGAAAAGCCACATGTTGATCCCTCAGGTGCACACACAGGTAAAACACACTACCCGCCCGTCTGGGACTCAGTTTACAATAAAGAAACCCAAGAATTTGGGACTCAACATGCTCTTGTTCAGCAGACAAACCCCTCCAAAAGCACATTTTTCTCGAATATAATATTGGAATGACAAGCTGTAGTTATTCATTCTGGTGCCTGAAAGACTAGCAATGCTAGCAGAAACTGATTAATGAATGGCCAAAATCAAAATGCACATTGCCTCTCAGATGTACTCACCTTTGAGAAGTGAAGGCAGCCCACAATGATATTAATCTTTATTCCACTCATTTACTACTTACTAACCATGAAATAAGTTCTTCGTCTTTCTGCTACATCTCTAATTTGGCAGCATCACCCAGTGCTTGTTTATGCGACTCTTAAGTGAATTTGTCTTCACTTGTTTTTAACATTATTTTTAAACCTTGCCACCCTGCTTTAATGTTTTGGCATAGTTTGTCCTCTTGTATTTTCCACTGTGGACAGTGAATGCATCAGGCAGTTCTGCTCACCAGAATTTGCATGTTGCCAGCACCGTCTCGGCACCCAGATCCTACCACGCTGCCTTCCCAATCCAGCACACGAGTGTCTGGCCCACACATCACTCAGGTAAACAGCTCTGGGTCACAGCCGAGGTCCAGTGCTTAGTAAGATTAAATACTGAGGGCCAGCTACAGCACAGACACTGCTGCCATGGAGGGAATAACACAGTTGTGCCACGGGGGCAGAATCCAGCCTTGCCCATAGTGTGAAGCCACTGCTCTGCTTGGCTGAGTCCCAGGCATGTTCCTCCCTGCCTATTTGTGCTTTCCCTTCCACATCCAGCTCAAGGCATTCTGAAGTGTGTCTGTACTCAGTCTTTTTGGGCCACCCTTCCACCTAATCCTTTTTTTCAGGGTCTCCAATCTCAACGGTCTCCTCACCATCTCAAGTCACTTACCCTAATTACATTACTATGCTGTATTGAAGTACTAAGTTATATTAAACACCTTTAACACAGACACTTCCCTTGGTATCACAATAGACAATCTCACTTCTCTTTAAACCCCCTCATCTTACGTTTGCCATATCCAAACCGTTCCCTATTCCCTTTTCTCTGCTGGACCCATTCTTAGAGCCCGTTTGACCTGACTCAAGGAGGAATTCATCTTTGTGATCCTTCTGAGGTATCACTCACTTCTACACGACCCCTCATCATGATTCACTCCCTGACGTGTTCAGAGAGCTCTTCCACCACGTTCCCCTGCCCGCCAGGTGCTTTCCCTTACACGGCCTCGGAGCGCACTCATCCTCCCTCCCTCCCTGTCTTACATTTTCAGCCAATCCTCCCCTTTTCCTGCGATTAGACGTCACTAGTCCAGCCAGGCACGTTGTGCTCAGAGCAATGGTGGCTGCCAGAAGAAACTGCTAAACCAGCAAAGGCAAAAACTAAAGGTGAAGAGGAAAACCGTCGTGTGTCGTGGCTGTGGAGCCCTGCACGAAGGGACACTCGTGTTTGGTCATCATCGTTATGTCAGAGATGATTTAAAAGTGTCCCACTCGGTGCTGGGGTTTGGGAAAATCCCTGGGGCGCTCACCAGAACTGAGGGGAGCCCATTGGTGCTAAACTATTTCAGCGGGAGACAGCAGGGGAATCTGTGAAGGAGAACAGACAGAAGAACAGCTCTGCTGTTTCTCCTCCCATGGATGGGCTCTGTGCAGCGGCACCTGTCCCCGCTCCAGCACTCACCGCCGCCTGGAAGGAGAACATAAAAAGCTCACACAATAATGGGAACCCGACAGTAAATAGAGTCTGTCTGCGAATCAAGGGCGACCGGACCTCTGACGGCGCCCAAATCGCCAGCGCGGAGCTGCCAGGACCCCGGTATCGCCTTTCACATGAGAGGACCCGAAATTCCGGGCTCCTCCTGCTCGGGAGGTGTAGCAGACACCCCGCGCTGAGCCCTGCGGGACCCCCCCAGCCCGGGCTCACTCTCAGCCCCGCGCTTCTCCCGATGGATGGGACGGGAAGAACTCTTGGCAGCATCGCGGGGGGAATCTGCTCCGAGCCCCTCTTCCTTGCCCAGGCAGGCTGTGCCTGCTGGCGGAGCGAGCAGTGGTGTCAGGATGCCCCTCAAAAAGCTCGCAGCTGCTCCTTGGGGAGCAGAGATGACTTTTTGCTGTCAGGAGCCCGGGATAACAGTCTCATATGCAGAGGATTTCTAGATTCCCACGAAAATCCTCATTAACCGCACCAAGGCACAGAAACAGGGACCCACTTCATGCCATTCAGCACATCGCAGGCAAGAACTCGTCTCTTTAACACAACAGATCGGTCTGCTGACCCCCAGTCAGAGACAACCGGGCTTGACGGAAGCTGCCGGGGAGGACACCAGCGACAGCGGGCACGGGGACTCGGTCCCTCTCGTGCGGCAGGAGCGGCTCCGCGCCGAGCACTGGGAGTGCCTGACAGCTCCGAGGAAGCATTTCCCTGCCTGTAAAATCTCGTTTGGAAGCTGCAAAACATCCTCCGGCCACCACGGCGGAGCGGGCGCTGCAGTCGCCTCCCCTCCGCTCCTCCCGCTCCCGGAGCCGCCCGCAGAAGCGCTCGGCAGCGCTCCCGGCTGCCAGCCCCGCCTCGGCTGCCAGGGCTGTGCCTGGTGACATCGCCTGAATCAGCAGCGCTCTCCAGAACAACGTGCGGCAGTCAGAACAGCCTGGGCTTACAGCGACTGACAGCTCTAAGCGAAATTGGTATCGTTTATTCAAGGCACTGACGGATATTCTAGAGCCTTCTGTTAACGAACCCTGCCCACATTATTACACGATAAAGCATCCACGAGCAGTTTCTAAAGTTAAGATTGCTTTATGTTTCTAACAGAAATATTGGAATATTTTCTTGACAGTGTACGCCTATAGCAAACCCCGATAAAGTCTTCAACTCATTGCTACAGTCACAGAAACCAAGGGGAACCGAAGAGAAGCCAAATCCTCCCCTGCCGCAAATGATTGGCACTGAGACCCCACATCACCCTCAATCATAACCTAAAGAAACGAGTCTCTTCCCACACCTGTGGGCAAATGCTGTTTCTCCATCTTCTGCAGAGGTGTTTAAATCTGTTTATAAGCTTAAAATAGACGTTTTTCCTTTAGAAAATCGTGGTCGCATCACATCCATGTGAATAAAGGAAAGAAGTGACAGCTGTACAGAGCTGGGGTAACCCTTGCTCCTCACAAGTGAAGGTGTCTCATGAACAGTTAACCACATCACAGGGTGATGACACACTCCCCTTCAGCACGGACACCCGCTCACGATAAAAGAGACTGAATAAGCAATCCCAAGCAAATACACAAAGAACTCAAATTTAAAGCCGGTACTAAGACATGTAAGAGAAGAGAAAATCGTGGGACATGTTCAAATGATTTCCTACAGATCGACGAGAGATAACCCACTCCTATGTGTCAAAATAAAAATACCGCGTTTACAGATGTCACTGTATATTAAAAATATGGGAGTTAACCAAACGAACTGAACGTATAACATGAAATTACATACGTACTGCTTGTTTTTATTACCCTGGCAGCTTTATCCATTTCACTTTTAGGCTATAGACAAAATTAAGTGAAAGAGAAAAGATTTTCACTTTTCCCTTTAAAAATTGTTCGAATTTTCTGACACTGAACAAGAAACGCTAAACGTGACCCTAAAGTCTTATCTCAAAGAGTTATTTGAAGCTTGCCAAGATGAGAACCGAGTCAATTCAGTGTCATCAGTGCACGGACAAGATCAGCTGAAAAATAATGGTGTTGAAAACAACCTGGTAATTAAACAATCGCTCTCTGCATCGGAAATCGCTGAGGAAAATAGGATGAAAACTGTTCTCTTGTTTTTTTCTGCTCTATTGCTGGGAGAGCCCAAAGCTTTCAACCTACCATCCCCTAACTATTGAACACCACACAGAAAAATTCCTTTATAATTCTCCCTGAATCACTTTTCCTGCCTCTTTCCACTCCCACCAAATTTGGACTCTTCTTTCCACAGCGCATTTCTGGATGGATGGGATAAAAGAGAAGCCCCATCACTACGAAGAGTGAGATCAGGTCGTGGGAAATGGCCAGAGAGCACCCCCTCCCTCAAACACTTCTCCATTTTTCCACAAAGCATCCTGAATTTTGCTTCACTCCACCCTCACACACGCACATGTTTTTGACAGACTTCCAGAGATAGAACACTCACAACCTCCACCAACATTTCATCAACTCTTTTCGCCCAAAATTGTCACTGCATGGATTTCAGCTTCTCAAGAGCGGCGAATCACAACAATCAGAAAGATTCTATAAATCAAAAAACTCACGAGTGCGCCTTGGCACACATGAACACGACAGTCAGCAAATAAGTGTAAAGGCGCCTGGTTCGAAGACACAATTACATTCACCATGAAGGAAATATCAAACTACTGAAGAACTCACATGTCGAAAGGCACAAATATCTCTATTTTATCACAAATATCTCTATTTTATCACAAATATCTCTATTTTAGCTGAAAAATAAAATATCTCTAAGACCTAGCACTGCACTTTGATGCCAAGTAGGCAGTAAAAAAAGAAAAAAAAATAAAACCCGTGATCAAAATAACGTCCTATCCAAAACAATATTTAAAAAATGAAAGAAGGAAAGAAAATATGGAAATTTTGAGGGGCAGTCGTATATTGAGAAAATGAAATTCCATATAGTGAACACACATATCTAAGGCACATCATCACATCTAAATGCAACACACTACAAATCTAGGACATTGTTCGAAAACTTTTATAACAGAAAAGATGTTTTAAAACTTCGAAGATTCATGGATTAAGTAAGAGATACAAAAATGTAACTTATCGAAGACTCTTACCACGCTTGAAGCAAGAGGGGAGAGAGACGGCCCCTTCCCAGCAGAACCGTTTTCTGCAGCAGGGCCCGGCGGCGGCGGCGGAGGGAAGTTGGGGCTGAAAACCATGAGGTCGCTCTTGCCCGCGCCGTCCGCCACGCACAGGCTGCGGCTGTGGCGCTGCGAGTAC